AAAAGGACTGGAAGGAAATGGTTTCTCTCTCCCATCTGTTGATGGTTTCTCTCACAAGAAAACCAATGGTCCCCTTGCCTGCTCAGTGTATATATGTGAGGTACCCAAGGGAAAATGGGAGGCTCTGAGCTGTGGGAAGTAGTTTTCCGCTACATCTTTTGTCAAAATTGGAAGGCATAGAAGTCTGGTGTCATCGCAGATCAAATGAGCTCTTACTTAGCATTCTGAGTGGTCAAAAAAGGAACAAAACCTCCCCTGGTAACTGAAGTAAAATGTTCAATGGGATCAAGCCTCACAAAAATTTCTGCTTTGTCTTATAATTTCTTTGTTCTTTCTATTGAACTTCAATCTCTATCAATTTAAACTGTTTTGTTAAAATTTCTTGTCTATTTATCAGTTACTGCCTGAAACTGGACCACCTGGTTGAGTGCATCAGAAAGAGTTGAGATTTTTCTAGCAACTGATATCTAGAAGAATGCATAACTGACAATCCTAGTCCCTCTGTTTTCTAAGAGAAACTATACTTTCCATAAACATGAAATGCATTTACTATGCTTGAAATATAATCTGTATTTTTCATGCTAGTAATTTCTGAAGCTTGTCAGACACGTGAATGAATGAATGAATACGTATCCTGTCATAGCCCTGCAAGTGGTAGGGGCACTTTCTTAGGCTGAGCACTTGGAGCTGAGACCAGTTCTGTCCCTGTCTGTCAGTGGACATGTGGTATTGGTCAACATGAAGGTCTGTCCAGTGGTTTAAGCTGAATCGAGGAGTGGGCACCAGCACACTTCCCTAGGCAGTGCTTACTTGAGCAGTGTAGATCAGTAAGGATTAAATGTATTTGATGTTGCAGAGCTTTTCTTCCTTCCGCCCTTCAGTTTCCCACATAATGTGTATGAATATGTAAGGAGCACTTTAGGTTGCATAGCTTGTACTTTGGGTGTAAATTACAACTTCAGCATGTTGGTCTTTTAATTTCCTGGGCTTCTAACTTTTGTAAGGACATAATAGCAGTTTTCTACTTTTGGATATTTAAGTGTATTATAGGGCATTACATGATTTTTGGTTTCAGCTCTTTCACTGTTCTGGTTTCCCTGTTGCATTTCATTACTATTTAACAACTCCTTAGTTTCTCAAGCTCCATTCTGTCTTCCATCTAAAAAAGGCAAGTTAGAACTGGAGACAATTATTCCAAGGAAGGTTTTGGTTTACCAGGGTTTTTGTTCATTTGGTTTTAGCCTCACTTAGGGGAGGCTGGCTTATTTCTAAGCTTATTAGAATCAGCTCTTCATTATGCAGATTAGTCAAAAATTTTATTTAGCTCAACTAAAATTTGTTCCCATATTAGGTCTCAATTCTACTCAGGCCTCCCTCTCCATTCTTCTCTTTTCTTTATCAATTACTCGAAAGGCACACAGAGACAGCATATTTGTATTTTGGGCATGCCCAAATGACCATAGATTATCCATTTCACTTTGACGCAGGTTAGAGGTTGTGATAGAATTTCCCTGCCAAGTATAATAATGGTTAATATGCCTTGGTCTGTGGATGTTTATTGAAGAGAAGGAGAGGGAGAAAGGTCAGATACAGATTTTTGATGGAAATTTGGCCGATCTCTTTCACACTGAGAAGATTTAATTTTGTAGTTTAGCCTCTGTATAGAGAACTACTTTTTGCAGTCACAAGCGATATTTTTATACAGACCTTGAAATATGTAGGAGTCAAAGTACAAGATGTGCAATAGCCAATACACAGTTGATAACTGCTGAAGCAACTCATGCAACCTGTTTGTGCCCAAATTCCTCATCTGTGACACACCAATATGAAAAAGTAGAAGTAGTTCTTTGATCCTCCTTTTGCATTAATGCGGCTCTGCACTTACAAACTTTGCAGTTGTTCATGTGTTGGCCCTAACTCTAATATTAAAGCTTTCTTTTTTCCTGAACTAGCAGTGAGAGTAGTGCATGGCAGTTAATATATTCACTTCTAAGTTAATGCAGAATTGCGAAGTTAATTTAGTGCCTTACTGCAAAGGAAAAGGAAATTCCTGTGGTAAGGTTAGCCCAAATGAAACTTTTTTTTGGGGGGAGGGGAGCTTGGCAAATTAACAGCTAATAAGTATGGTTTGAGTTCAATCCCCCTGTCCCATCTGTCTGTCCATCCTCTTTCACCAGTAAAACTATTTTTGGAGCTGTAGTTGACATGCCCTTTTCCACAACAGCAAAGCACTGCAGCATCCTAGTGCTGCAGTAGAGCTTTTAAAAAAACAAAATCCATCTTCCAGCTCTGTTAGCACATGTTTTGGGTTGAATGTCGAGTGGTGGCTTTTGAAGAAGAATGTAAGCTAATCCAAAGTCACCAAATTCTTGTTTCTTAACTACTTCCAAAGAATTTGCCCCAACTTGAGCAGAAAACATGATGCGTGTAGTGGTAGCTTCCACAGTCTGGATCACTGCTAGATCCTGCAGAGCCAGCAGGCGTAGGAGGAAATCTGGTACTTCCTTTTAAGAAGCACTCCCTAAGGTATTCTTAATATTTGCATGCAATGTGGGAAGCTAAAACTGCGAGAGATTTGTTGGAGTCTGGTGGGTTTGTGGACTTGTTCATGTGTCTCTTGTGTAACCACAAGACCATGAGACTGAGTTTCTGCTTGGGTGAGGATTTGGGAATGTGAAGATGTGTTGTTGAGTAGTGCAAGTCTGGCAGTATTTGGCCGATGTTGACTATTACTTCTATGTATATATCTGCATGTATGTATGTAGTAGTTGGCTCCCAAACCATGCTTTAAGTTAGTAGGATTAGGAAATCAAAAGGTATAAAAAAAACCCCTAGGCTATTAGTGGGTTTTTGCAAGTCCCCCAGAGCTTTGAAGATGCCTTTTGCCAGCCAGAATCAATGCCGTAATTTGTGACCATATCTTTTTTCTTTTCATACTTCTTTGCTCTAATTTGGAGTTTGAGTTTGAATTAGATTATCTAAAGCTGCAAGATTAATAATGCAAATTTAATAGTGGACTGGGCAGTTTCTGGGCTGATTGACAGAAATATTGAGGAGGATCAAAGCCTTTTTTTCCCACTTGATACAGTTAGGGTCAGTTTAGGTGAAGGTCTGGGATATAGCAGGGGAGAAGAGAAAGGTTGTTTGTTTCTGTTGTTGTGTTATTTTGTTTTGTTTGCTTGCTGGTTACTACAGAAGCAGTTAGGAATAGGACTCATGTCCATGTTAATTAATGCTTGTGCATTAATGCATTTAGTGCAGAGGTGACCCATCTCAATGTAGTTAGGGTCCGGGTTGCTGCTATGCCTTTGGTCAGAGAGCAGAGTTTAGTGCTGGATTCTGCCATCCGAGGGGCGAGGAGGAGGCTCGTGCATGTGGTGCGGGGCTGCCCACTGCTGTGGGCATCGATTTCGTGGCGGTGTTGGGAATCTGCAGCTCGGGAATCTGCGAGGGGGCTTTGCCTGGGTCCTGTCTTGCTTATTTGCTTCAACTTTTCTCTCTCCAGGGCCTTTAGATAGTTGTCTTTAATTTCTGCCTCTCTTAAACTTACCAAGATCAATGTTTCTTCTATCCTAAGTTCCTGGTGAAGACTGAATGAAATAGAAAAAAACAAAAACAAAAAACACTGAAATAAATGATACATGGGTCTTGCTTATGTGCGCTGAGGCTAATTTGTAATCTGTCCTCCTCATCCTCACGTATGCCAAAAAACATGAGAATAAAAGTTTCATGGGATGGGGTGGGAGTGAGAGGTTCCTCTCCTTCTTCTTTTTTTTCTTTTTTCTTTTTTAAAAGTGTTTGTGTCTTTATATGTGTTCAGGAGGGTTATTTATTTTGTCTTCAATAAGAAAAAAAATGCTTGTTTTTAATAAGAAAAAAAAAATCAGACTGGAATGATGGCTTAAGCCAGTTATTAAAACAATTACAAATATATTGCTGTGTGTTTTGGAGCTGTGGCACGTGAGTGCGTCAGCCCCTGCAGGCCCATGCCAGCGGGGAGCTCAGGGCCCCTCTGCATCTTTTAGGTCCCAGTTTGGACCAAAACCAAGATCGAGTCACGCATGTTGATCTGCCTTTTCGGCCCTTCATGGTCACACAGAGGTTTTGTACAGGAAGAACCAAATGCAAATAGAGCACATGTGGCTCAGCCGAGATGGCTGTTTCCAAAATGCTGAAAAAGGACCCTGTGCTGGTGGCCCTTCTCTGGGACCCAGGTGCTCAGGATTTTGACTTGGATCTGCTCCCTTGCAACAAGTGCAGTGAGCAGGCCACCCCTCAGGCCAAACCGCACTTTTGTTCATGGTCCATAGCCCTCTTGGTGTCTTTAACCTCAGGCCACGGTAGATAAATAGTTGTAATTGTGGACCCTGGAGTTCTGGCCTTTAATTGCAAAGACAAAATGGATGATAGGATTTTGGCTCAGCTGTGAGAGACTCTCACGATTAAGAGATTTCTTATTTGCCATGTTCTATGCAAACTGAAAGTACTTTTCTGGATAGTTTGCTGTTTAAGCAGACACACTCTTAGGATTTTGTGGTGATGACAAATGATGACAGAAATCAGTATCCTACTGAGACTACTTTGAATCTGAGATTACAGATAGGCACGAACAGTAAATTGATCACTTAGACCTCTACGATTCACATACAGATAATAAATGCTTCCTTCCCAAGCAGGCTTGTGCTCTGACTGCATCGCACAACAAAACCTGTGACAATGTCTGCTAGGACACCTGGCAGGGAAGGTGCTGTGTGTGTTTGCTGGATGTCTTGCAAGTAAGGGCAAAATGTGACTTAGACTCATACAAGCACAACTGTGGTGGCAGCTGTCAGGTACTGCTTAGCTGAGGAAGTTAGGAAACCTTCTTTTCCTTTTACTTTCTGTCCTTTCTTTCTAAAAGGCTAAGTATTAGCTAACACATAGCCAGATGTATTGAGAGCAACACATTTGTGTGTCACACGTATTAATTTTCTGTTTTCGTTGCTGCTCTTTGTTTCCAGGCCTTTCTGCAAATGTGCAATCTGCCGGTCCGCGTGGTTTGTAGGGCTAACGCAGAGTACATGTCCCCATCTGGTAAGTGTGGCCTTCGTTTCGGTTGCTGGGCTGCCCCTGCGCCGTGATGCCGCGGCAGCTGCGCCCTGTCTGCCGCCAACAGTGGGGACGGGGGTTGCCTTCCCCTCCTCGTGCAATTTCTCCCCTGTCAACCATTAAAACTGTCCACTGCCACGTAACATTAGTACAATACGAAACCAAATCTGTGAGTGCCGAGTGAGTCAGATATCTGGTGGAAACTTCCTCTGAAATGCCTCAGGGTTGCTGTGTCGTAAGAAAGACATTTATTTCCCAAAATGTCTTTATTCTGCATCCATCCCTGTTGGCCAGTGAATGCTGTGTTTTCCCACTGATGGAGTGAGACAAAACAAGGGGAAACAGCATCTTTTGTTGCCTTGTCTCGGAGATGAGTGCAGATGCTTGAGAAAAATGAAGGGTATGTTGCTGTTGACAGGCACATGAGGTTGTCCAATAAAAACCTAAAACAACAACCCACCACCACTCATAAATTAAGTATGGGCAGTGTTTGGTGTCTGCTGGTTGCCCAAAAACTTACCCCAAAGCAAACTGCTGAAAGCAGGGCACAAAATGCTGGCAATCCTTGCAATCCCTCCTGAACTGTGTTGGGGCGTATTTATTTGCCAGTTAGCTCTGGCTGTAGTACACAGCATGGGAACGCTCTGTGTGTTGTCTTTGCGTGTAATGCACAGTCTGGGTGGGAGCAGTGGGTTCTCCAGCACAGCAGGGCTGGCGGTTCCCTTGTACCGCGTGGCCGATGGGCTCGGATGAGGCTTCTGCTGCTTTGGTGCCCCTCAATCCAACCCTTATGCAGAGGAAGCCAGGGAGAGGTGAACCTCGAGATAAAAACCATGACTGAAGCCGCTGCTGGCATGAACTCTGCTTGAACTAGACCTAGCTGTAGGTTTTATGTCTTTCAGTGAGAGGCATGAGTGTTTTTGCATCTGCTGGATGTTTTGCTAATAGCACATCTGGAGTCTGCAGGTATCGATCTTGCTCTTTGCGCTCTCCTGAGAGGGCACTTGTGCCCACCAAGAGCTGGGGAAGGGAGTGTGAGCTTTGCCCACCACGCCAGGCAGGCTCCTTGGCCCTCCATGCTCTCGAGGGCTTCTGTGGCTATATGAAATGAGTGAAATTTCAAGGATACAAGTGAAGATTGTATCACAGAAGATTTAAACTGGCCGGGTGCTTGGGGCGTTTGTCCAATGAGTGACATGGCAGTTTTGCCTCCATGATGATGGAAAAACATCCTTGCCTTGGTGAGCTACGTGCTTAGGAACTTTACGATTGCTTATTGGGGGTAAAGAAAGAGATGTTCAGGTATTCCTGCAGTAGTTAGTTGTTTCAAAAAACAGAAAACACTCTTTTGCATGTATAAAACGCTCTTACTAAAATGCATTTCTTATGTTACAGGCAAAGTGCCCTTTATTCATGTGGGAAATCAAGTAGTGTCTGAACTTGGGCCCATAGTCCAGTTTGTAAAAGCCAAGGTAACAATATATTTTCTTCAGAAATTACTGGCTGGCAAGTTAGTTGTGCTTAGCACCTGTGCTAATGCAGTGCGCTCTTCTGGAATGTTACTTAACTTTTTTAAACAATGTAGTAATCTAGTGCCCCTTTAAAGGAATGATAGGCTGGCATAGGAGTTGTTTGAGATGGAAACAGCACAAAGTTTACTCAAGTTGTGGCAGGAACTTGTACATGAGATTTCTGCCTACTAGTTGCATTTCCTCAGTCTGTTTCTTCGGTTTTTTTTCTTCTTCTTTTGCTTATGTGCCTTATCCATAGGTTTCAGAAATAGTCTTAAATCCAGAGCTGGCTGGTTTAAATCTGAAGTATCAGGTGCTGTTTATGCTTGCTATTTGTGTGTGTGTGTTGCCTACCATTAAATCAGTGTCTGTTTACTGAGCAGTTGGTAAAGCTGTATGGCATGTGAACGCATTTGCTTCTTGCTACAGAGATGTACTAACTGGGAAGCTGTGCAACTCACCTGTAACTGAAAACAGTCTACATTTCTTGAAGATTGCTATGTTATATGGTGATGATTTCTGTTTAATACTAAAGGACATTTTATATTAAAAAAATCTTTTATTTTTTATTTGTCTTTATTTTTTCCCCGTTAGGGCCATTCGCTCAGTGATGGGTTGGATGAAGTCCAAAAAGCTGAGATGAAAGCCTACATGGAATTGGTCAATAATATGCTCCTGACAGCGGAGGTACGGAAAGCGGTAGCAGCTCCACACACTTACATAAGTGATTTTAGGCAAAAAAGCTTTGACTCTCCACCCCTTTTTTTCCCCTCATATTGCAAACGCTACATGTTTTTTGATTTTTGTCTTCTGTGTTTGAGATAAAAGCAGGCAGAAATAGATTTGCTTGACCCAGTGGGCTGTTTGCTCAAATAACTTAATAGACAGACAGCGCACACAGAGTTCCCCTTATAGCTTTGCAGTGTCACATAGCTATAAAAGCAGCCCATTTCTGGATGGAAAATGTCAGTGTTTCCTGGGGTCTGACCCCATCCCCGCAGTCATGCCTGCCCCGCCGTTAGCTTCCCGCCTGGGCCGCATCCGGGTCTGGTTACGGACACACTGCAGCACAGGAACCGTGGTGGGGACCCTGGCAAGCGGGTGCAGCCCACGAGTGTCCAGGTCCTGCCTGGGCTTCAGTCTGGGCTTGAGAAGTAAGAGCTGGCAATGGCCCTTTGCTTTCCAGGTTTCATTTCTTTTCTGCCTTCAGAGGTCTAATAGAAGGAATTAAATGGAAAATTAATCTAATACAGAAAATTCTAGCAAGAAATGATTGTGTTTATCTGCCTTTATTGGGAAGTTTTAGTAAGTGTTCTTTCTATTCCTAGTTGTATCTCCAGTGGTGTGATGATGTTACAGTAGAGGAGGTGAGTGGTTCTGCAGCATTTATCTTAATTAAAGTTTAATGAGAAAACACTTTTGCTCACAATTGCAAATCCCTACTCATAAATGAAACATTTAGGTTTATACCATTAATGATACAGTCTTTTCACTTTAATTTTGCTTGCATATACATTTTAGGGAAATTCTGTGTCATTACTGGAGGTAGCTGACTGCAAAATAGATGTTTTTTATATATATTTCTAAGGTAATAAACAGTCATGCTGCAAACTACAAATTCCGTGTAAATAGTCACACAATTCCCTTTCTTTTTCACAACTTCCTTTCTGGTGAAAGTGTAACATTGATACGTGTGAATATTAGCTATTTTCTAAATAGAATTATATGTTTTGTTTGTTTTGTTATAAAAATGCAACTTTCTGTTTTTCAACGAAGATCACTCACCCGAGGTACGGCTCCCCTTACCCGTGGCCTCTTAACCGCATTTTGTCCTACCAGAAGCAATGGGAGATCAGGCGGAAGATGAAAGCCATTGGGTGGGCTGGCAAGTCCCTAGAGCAGGTATGTGTGAAAGACAAAATTTGTTTCTTTATGCTGTTTTTTCTTTCCTTTTTAAGGCTTTGGAGAAGTGGCGCTTATATGAAGAAGACGTAGTAAGAAATATATTCTGTATATAGTTATCTGGAGTCAGGTGTCCAGCTTCAGCAGCAATAAATCTTAAATTTTATGCAATCTGAGGGTGTTGGGAGAGATGTTTTCCTATGCATGAGTATCTCAGTATTAGTTTAGGCTATGGTCCTGAGAAAGGATTAGAAGTTATGGCCCCCACTTCCTGCATGATGTTAATAGGTGTTAATCCTTTGCAGGATTGTGGCTTCTCCTCTGAGGTCTAGGAAAAATGCCAAGCAGTTTTTGAGGTAGAAGGACCTTTAAGCTCAGTTATAAATGTCATCAGCATTGCTATAAATGAAATGTTGTCGTGATGTAACTCTTAGGTACCTGCCTACCGTGTAGCTTTGACTGGGACTTTTAACAGCTTCTGATGCTGAAGGGTTGTGTGTTCCGCGTGTTCTGCTGCCAGCACAAGTACAATCAGGAGATTACTTTCATAGTGGTGGTATGTCCTGGCACTGTGGATAGTGTCTGTCTTGTGTGTTTTCATAGGTGCTTGAAGATGTCGATCAGTGTTGCCAGGCTCTCTCCCAGAGATTAGGAACACAACCATATTTCTTCAACAAGCAGTAAGTAATTCTTTTATTGAAAAGTTACATCCAAGAAGATGATAGGAATATATATAAGAAACACTTCTGTTTAATGCTGCATGATGATTTAAGAAAACTGAAATATGTGACTGGTGTGTAGAAATTAATGTAATAAAGTACATAATTGCAGAAAAAATGGTGATTGTAGGCATTAGTAGGAAAGTTTTTGGAAGATATATGTTATTTTCTCTTTGGACTTAGTTTTACTTTTGTTTTTATAGAATGCATGGCAGCTTACAGAGGTAGCAAACATATCTTTACACACTTAATTTCCAATCAAAAGGATACACTTAAAGCTTTGCTTGTGCTTGTTTCTCAAGTAGCATTTTCCACCGAGTGCAGGTCAGTAAAGTGCATCAGGTCTGACCAAGACAGTTGTCTTGCCATCATTAACATCAGTAACAGCTTGGAATGACCTGAATTAGTGCGAGGACATGTGCACTGTGTGTGAGCTGTGTGAGAATGCTGGCTTGCATTCAACCAAGGACTGGTTACAGAATGAAATCTAAGATTTGCATTATAAAGAAAAAAAATGGCCTTCCTGGGATGTCCCTTGCTCTCACCAGTTTGTTCACATTGCAAAATGCAATTTTCCTGCTCCTCATAATTCAGTATTCCTTTTTTAATACTATGTATTTTAATACCCTGTGGTTTTGCCTTAGTGCAGGTGGGAGTAGGTGTGGTGTAACCTTTGCTGGAGCCCTCGAGGTTTCTCATGCCCTTGTTTTGGCATCTCTGGAGCCGGTGCTGGAGGCTCTGGGTGCTGATCTGTGCTAGGGAAACAGCAGTGAAAGCACAGAATGGCTCATGCCTTCGTGTCCTGAAGGTGACTGGGAGGCCATTAACCAAGAGCAAACTCAGGTTTCTGCAGAGAGCCCTTCTGGGGCGACTCGCTTGTGTCCTGCTGGAAGCCTTGGCCAGCTCAGCCCTGCCCCAGGGGGCTAAAAGGGGCAGGAACTGGGAAATTATCAAATCTGCCGAGAGCGTAGCTCACGTTGGTGCCTCTTGTCGTCTGCATGTAGCCTAGACGGGGAAATGCTCGAGTCTGGACGTGGGTAACTACACTGGAACAGAGAATGTCTTCAGAAGGCAACATGTGGTCCTGGTTACTTTTCTCTGTGTTTTTACCTCTTATTTTTTTTTAAAGTTGAGGCTAAGTGGGGAGTATAAAGTGAGGGGACACAGTATGCACTACAAAACAAGCTTGAATTATGTCTTCTTAAACACAATGAACTATCTTCTAAATTTTATTTCTTTATTTGTAAAGAAAATAGATTGAGGATTTTGTTTTGAATTGTTTGTTAGCCAGGCTTCCATGCTACAGCTTCAACCCTTCTGCCTCTCAACTGTCTGAAATATAAGCAAGATACTGTGTGTCTTTAGTCCAGTGTTTTTCAGATTGTGACCCATAGTAAATAAGTAAAGTAGCTTGTGGCAACAAATTTAAATTTGTTACATAAGGGTACCCATCTACATGGAAAAATTCTTGGGGGCCCACAAATGGAAAAGCTAAAAATTTGTTAGAAAACAATCCTGCTGTTTGCCTTTTGCACTAGTGAAGTTGTTAATATATTTGAAAAAAATACTTTTTGTTTGTCTATGGACTGCTTCGATGCAGAGGTCTGACATTTCAATACAGAAGGCTTGTACCTAAAAATAAGGTAGGAATTAGAAGATTTGATAAATAACTGTTCTTTTATGGAACAAAAATTAAAATATCTGTTTTCTTCTGCTTAGTCCTTTATCATAAGAGATGGTTCTAACTGCTTTCATCTTGGATTTCCTTCTTCCTGTTGTTTAAATAATTCTTGAGTGCCAATAAGAACAAGAGGAGAATAGGAGGGCGCTTTATGCATTTTTCCCTTCCTCTTTGGTTTTGCAAGAGAAAGTTTCCATCTGCAAAGGAAATGACCTTAAGAAAGATACTGTACATCACTGTACATTAAGAGTATGGTAAAACATTAAAAATGAAGTCTAATGTGTTTAGAGTGTTGCTTGATTACTTCCTAATTCTTAGATTATGGCTGTCTAAAAGTGATTCAGAACAGCAGTATTTTTCTTTATCAGGATTTGGCTTCCAAAATGCCTGTTCTTTCTGTTTTTTCACAGTCCAACTGAATTAGATGCTCTGGTATTTGGACATCTGTTCACAATCCTTACTACTCAGCTGACCAGCGATGAACTATGTGAAAAAGTGAAAAACTACAGTAATCTCATAGCCTTTTGTAGATGCATAGAGCAGCAGTACTTTGAAGGTCATGATAAAGACAGTTCTTCAAGTGCTACATCCAGAGCTGCTAAGAGGTCCTTACTGAGATAAGCATGTTGTTTGGTGGTCAGGATTGATTGCACGTGAAAAATAAATATTATTTTTGTTGTTTAATTAGTTGGTTTTGAAATGGAAAGATATGTATGCCAAATCATTCTGGAGCAAGAAAAACTTTAAATGCAGTTGTTTTGTTGTAGAATATATTGTACACATTTAACCTGCAATGACTCTATGGCCACTTTTAATAGCCTGTATGCCACTTAAGATCAAGTGACCTTGGAAAAATGTTGTATCTGTATTGGAAAAATAAAATATTTAAAAAAAGTTTTTCTTCTTTGTAATTTTTGTGTCTATGTAATAAATAGATTCTGCTGATCCTCATGTAAAAAAGACAAAAGGAAAACAATTTGCATGAAATAGTAAAGTAATCATTTGACTACATAGTAGGACTAATGATAGGAAAATATTTCTTCCTCTCTGTGCCCCCTAGCCATTCATGGGCTTGCACTTCAAAACTTCATGTTTACAAAGGAATCACTATTTATAAACTGGTGAATAAAAGTAGGGCTCTAACTTTTCTATTTTCTTCCTACAGTTTCTATTAGATTAACACTTCAAGATTTTTTTTCATCTTTTCAGTAGCTGCTGCACTGGTGAAAGATGAGACATCTTTCCCAATGGTGTCCCAGAAAGATATTCCCTAAGGCTGTTCTTCCTTGTCCTCTGCAGTGCACAACCAAGGCAGATTTATTCAGACAGTTCTTATTCTGTGGCAAAACAGCTGTTGGCCCTCATTATTTCCCTGCTTTTATTTCCTGTTTGCCTTTAGTTGTTGGATTTACATGTCTCTTCCCTGTGATTTCCCTCTTCTTTGTCTTGCTCTTTGTCCAAGAGGTGGGATTTCTTTGTAATGATCTAGGTAGCTGCTTCCACCTCCAGAATGTCAACGTTGCTGCTGGACTTGGAAGTGCTTACCGGGGGCTTAACCTTAGCAAAAGGGGTGAGGTGTGAGTCTGTGGCTGGCGTTTCTTGGTCCTTCTGCCTCCACATCTTCCTAGGGTCTGTACAGACACAGTAAAACACCTGTACGCACAGAAATATCTTTGTGGCAGTGCAGAACCTTGTAAGGGAGATTGCCTTTGGCAAGGCCACTACCTGCCTGGTATTTTTGAGAACACTTTAAAACCTCTCTGTTCTGCTTCGTCACTTGTATTTAACGCTGTTCTGAAAGTGCTAAAAAAACCCCAAAATTTTATCACCAAAAATTGGTAGCCAAGAACCCAGACATTGAAAATTCTATGCAATAACCTCTAACATGCTTTTAACTTCAGAGGGAGGGAAGAAAAAAAAAGAGCAATCTAATACATTTAATGTGGAAAATATACTCAAGTGGTATGGAAGTGATTTGGCAAAAGATACCGATCTGTTATAAACAAAGTTTGTGTAACTATGTCTTTAAGTACTCAGCTGCACTCACAGAGGCAGGCAAATTACACAGAGTTTCCAATATTGAGGTGAGATGACATGCAGAGACTGAGATCTGGAAGCTAAATTAAATAGTTTCTGAAAGTTTAACCACCTCTCCTTGCTCCTTGTCTGTGACTTTACAGTTTGCTTACTAATTAAGTTATCAAAGGAGAAAATAAACACTTTTTTTTTACTTCCTTAACTAAAAAGCATACTTATATACATGACATGTTTGCCACAGGGCTGGTTATTGCTGAGACTGCACATCATTCTAGTCAATGAATTGTTACAGTATGTAAACGTAAAATTACAAGAAAAATCTTGGCCTTGCAACTAATGTCAAAAATAGATATTAAAAATGTAGACGAAGGACATGCTTTGCATTTCATGGCTACAGGATAATTACCGTACTTAAAAAAAAAAAATTGCTTTGCCAGCGTGGCTAGTGCTGAAAAGCAGACTGATCTAAGCATGGAGGAACAAAGCTTGTAGTCTGTGTGCACAAACTGGGAACCCAGAGAAGGATCCTGATAATCCCAGGTTGCTAAAGGGTAGAGGAAAGAAATAAGTCCACAAGAAGCTTTATCACAAGACACTTGTGCAGCTCGGTCAACCTGCCTGATCCAAGGCAATGTAGAGGAGGGTCCTGAGGGACTCTGATTGCCCCTCATCTGGTAGACGGAGGCCGCAAAAGTCTATGCGGTAGCTCAGGCATCTCTGCCTTTACGCTTGGGTTCTTGGCTTTTCTGCAAGATCTACCGTGATCGAGGTATTACTAGAGGTAGAAATCAGGTTAGAAAATCCTATGAACTATCTCATGTAGGATATCTGGGTAAGAAGACTTTATTTTCTTTCATAGCTTTTACAGCTAAAAAAAAAAACAAAAAAACTCCCAAGTTCCCAGAGGCTATTTTGGGTGAAGAAAGCAGACAGCTGGAACTTCTTAAGTTTCCCAAATTAAGACAAAAAGAAAGACCAAAAAAATAGGTTTCTAACAGAATGAATGCCAGCAGCAGCTGCACTGCGGCTTAGCATGTATCCCCCAAATGTGCCCCAGTGCGGGAGGAACTCAACTAGCATATTGCACACAAATCCATAAAAACATACACAACTGAGCAAAGAGACACTGATTCTTAAGACCGTATGAGGGTTTTTTTGTTGTTGTTGTTGTTGCCTTTTTGGTCCAAGGTCTTTGAAGTGAGGGACGAGCTCATTTACCATCAGCTGTTCGGATGTCCTCCCTGGACTGCACAGCAAGGTCTGCCTGGGCAGCAGGAGACCTTTGTCCTGGACAGAGCTCTTGGCGCCCAGTGACCAGAAGCCTGTCTGAAAAACAAAATCCCAACCCTGAGCTTCAAGGAGACCCTGTGTTTCCCCCAATGTGTTATTGTTTCAGATGTAGCTTTTTGACGGTCTTATAGACCTCTAAATGGCCCCACATCTCCGTTACAGCTTCTAACAGGGAGGAAAAGCTCTCCCAAGGAGGTGCCCTGGTGCTCAGGCTGCTGAATTGGCACTGTCCGTGGAAGTAGGGAGCCTGTGTGTCCCATGTCGCAGTCCCCAGGAGCAGCAGCTCTGTGCCAGGGCGGCCGGGCTCGGGGCACCACAGCTGCTGAGTGCAGAGAGACCAGCATTTCGGCCACGACGTGACAGTATCTGATCTCTGTTTCCAGCTGAGAGCCCGTCCTGGCCCTGGATTTACTGTCTCCCAATAAGCAGAGCTGTCCTTGGCTGGGGAGGCTCTGAAGCTACATTTTATGATATTGCGATGAGATTTCAAAAGGGACATTATGTGCAGGAGCATCAACGATAGCAAGGCTTTTCCTAGGACCTAACACTGCTCATTTATCAGAAAGCAAAAATTATACTATGGAGTGGCATTAATGTTCATCCGCTGTTTTCTCTGCCTTTTATTTTATTTCCCTCCCTTACAGACCCCTGAGGAAAAAAAAAAAACCCTGCCAACCCCACAGACTCCTGCTTCTCAGCCATACTTAGAGCTCAGCGCTGTGGAAAGAGGCGCCGCGCGCGGAGCGGCCGCAGAGCCCGGCTTAATGATGCCTCCCAGGATCAGCTGGGCCGCCAGCAAACGCTCCATTTCCCGCGGCTCGCTGCCTGCGCCCGGCTCCAGTGGCTCTCACAACAATTATCACCCACTTGTTCTGCAGGTTTCAAGTTTTTTGCATTAGTCAGGTTGAGAAATTCACGGTATTAATCATGACTGAAGTTGTTATTTATCACCTGCTGGGTGAGAAATAATAATTTTGGCACTACTGGAGCAGCAGGCCAGAAGTACCAAATTAAGTAAAACATCTAAACACTAGCAAGGATCATTTCTCTGATTAATGAATTGTTACAAAGAAAAAGTGCTACTCGTTATCTGATCTTAGGATAAAAGTGGGAGCTGGAAGTAAAAAGCATTAGCAAAGTCAGGCTATGCTGCGATGTAGTTTGAAACTTTGCTGGCTGATTTCTCTGCTGTCATTCACTCGCGTTAACATGCAGTCATCTGCCTCGGAGGTTTGTAATGCTTGGCTCCCGCCCCCTTCATCATCATTTTTTTAAAAAGCAGCATTTGGCAGGGACCTCAATATCCATTGTGTAATTGCCTCAAAGAAACGTTGGAGCTACTTTAACCTTCAAGGGCTTGTCTAGGCTGGAAACTTTTGCCATAGGAACAGTTACCAGCCAGGCAAAACACCATTGTGTGAAGGTGATACTAGATTGGCCTTCAGGAAGCAGAATAAGCGACACCGAGAGACGTGTGTTTGGAGCCAAGCAGCTGTGTCACTGGGGCCATACCTCAGATACCGGGTAAATAAAGAAATAAATTGTAGACACCTGGCCAAAATTCCTATGCATGTAAATACAGAAAGAAATTGACCACAACTGAAGAGGTTACATTAAAAGAAGGTCAGTATTTGCTACTGACTCTGTAGCACTTCCCACAGCAACTACATTTTCTGGGTGCATAAGTGAAACGTAGAAATCAACTCTCAGCCTTAAGGATTGGGTCCGTGGAGGAGAGAAATGCCACCACCGAAAGAAAACATTAACTTTGTCTTCAACTCTGTCTTTCCAAAAGCAAATCTAGAGATCTCAAGAGTGTGGGATATGACGGTCACGCTCCCTGCAAACACTGCTCAAACAATTAGTCCTCCACCTGTAAAGACCTCGAGCGGTCCATCAAATTCGGTCATAACCCTCAGCAGAAACCTACACTTCTTACTTCCAATTCCTGCCAAAGACTGGCCACTGGCGAGTGTCTCTCCAGCAATCCCTACATCTCAGGTTGCCTCTGTCATCCTCTCATGGATGGCATTTCTTCTCTTGCCTTTACCTAAAAATAAAATTTTGGCCAGATTTTTCCAAATTTGAAGCTGCATTTAGCTGATCGACAGTATTGTCACCTGGGATTGTCTTGTGTTCCTATAGGTCTCAGATAGCATCACTTGGACTGTCAGAAGATTAAGTGTTTTTCACTTTCCTTTTTTGTTAAATCAATAAAAATTTCCCTTTGGGCACACTTCTGTTCCCATGTTAATTCTGGCAACATTCTTCCTAAAATTCCTTTGCAGTTTCTGTTGGCTCCTTCCTGCACAAGCGCATAGGATCTCTATCACTGATGCCTCCTAGCC